TTGTTTCGTAAAGACTGGATGCAAGAATTAATCAAGATTATATAAGCTAATGTTTTACTGGCACGTTAATTCATCTGGATCTGCGATGACTGAGCATGCATCACGAAAATATCGAATACTATGATCAGTATATTTTCTCTGTACACAGGGAGGCTCACTATGTCAACATTACACATTTCTTTTCACACTCGAGCTAAAGTATAAATTCTAGGTTACTTGTCACTAACACGGCAGACATAACTTTATTCGAACAAATAATTAAATTATGAAAGACATCACCAAAGCAATGGCTTTTTTAACATCACAAAAGACAAAATTGGGAAACAGTTATATTTTAGACTTTTTGAAAGTTGAATCTGCATATTAGCCTTGACAAGTGACGATAAATAGTTTGGACAATATATATGGCGTATGTTAGTAAACATGAATAATACCTAACTGAGGCACTTATACTTACCGGGAAAGTTTCAAAATAATATTAAGCTCAAGCCTGATGGGGCCATCTCGACAAGCATTAGCGCTCTCTTTCGGAAGGGAGGTGGGACATAACCGGTGCCTGAGGCGTCCCAAAAAGGGAGTGTACTAAGAGGGCTTGAGCAATTTTTCCAGAGTATTGACGCTAAGCCCACTTTAAACCTCGACCTTGTGTCACATTCGGTTACGATTTTGACACACTGATAAATACTACACGGGGTACTTCCCTGGCAATTACGCCGGAGATGTTGAAAATAATATTAGCTCAAGCCTCGCGCGGTGCGGTGCATTCCTCCAGACAGTACCTCTCCTTCGGGGAGAAGGGGAAGTACCAAGAGGACTGAGAATATTTTTACTACAGTTTTGCTGAAAACCCACATTAAAATCCAACCTTGTGTCAGATTCTGGTACGACGCAGGCGAACGGATTAATACCTACCTGGCATCAGGTGGACTAGTTATAAATTAATATTTCCTTTCCTTCGAGAGAGGATTGTGGGGTAATTCCGGAATGCATGAGGCATCCCCAAAAGCGCCGAGGGGGTTCGATCAATTTTGCATGGATTTCTGAAATCCCACATTAAACTCCGACCTTGACCGACATTACTGATTGCGACGTGGGCGCGAGAATAAGTACTCTTACTCTGGACACTTCGATTTAATGTGAGCTAACTTGTTAGATCAGTCACGACGAAGTACAATTCTCACAGGGTGCTTCATGATTTCGGCCCTGTGCCACATCTAAGCAATACGTAGTAAATCACAATAATAAATACACTCCCAGGAGTCATTCCCTCACCAGACAATAGTTCTCCTTCGAGAAACGGCGGGGTTTAGGCCATGGCGCCTAAAAACTTACCCCAAGAGAGGAAACGCAGAAAGAACTGAACTATTTTACGCTTCTTGTCCCATATATATTTGAGTTTCCCCACATTAAACAATTAAGTGCGACATATCCAAAATATATTTGCTACATTATTAGACTCATCTCTAAGAGATCATCTCTTAAAGCCACACCTCTTTCCCTTGCACTTGTCACATTACATCTGTATGAAATTGAAACTGTTAACCAATGTTGAGTCTGCACTATTTACATTATTCGGACTATTGTTCTCATATTTGTCGCCATATTTATTACAACGTTTCGGCCGTTGTACGCTCCAGCCGTCTTCAGGTTATTTCGTTCACTGTAACTAGACTGTTCTAGTTCCACGTGCCATGTATAATGGATGTCAGTTATCTCGAAGTTCTCCACTGCCTTGGGTCCTGTAACTGGATCTAACTAACGCCTTTATCCACTGTTCCATGTGTCAAGGACACATGGCACAGTGGATAAACTTGGAAAGGTGAATTAGCAGGAGATAACTGATAACTGACATCCATTAAACATCGCACATGGAACTAGAACAGTCTACCCCAATGAGCGAAATATAGGGTTCAGTTCAACATTCCAACCACCTGATGGCCGAAATGTTTAATAAATATAGTGACAAAGATGAGGACAATAGTCCGAATAATGTAAATAGTGTACATAATACCTCATCTCAGAAATATAGACGAATGTTGAGTCTGGTCAGTAACTAGATGGATGACCGCTTTGTAATACCAGATGCTGTAAACTTGGATATGCGATTTGCTGGTGGTTTAATACAAGACGGATCAGAATGAGAAATCGATGAGCAGTGTTCCTATTCCAGTCGGGTTCGTTGCATTCACTTAGCCACAAATACCGTTTGACGATCAAGAATCGAAAATAGACATGATAACCCAAGCATGTCGCATCCGCCCCCTATTAATACGCATTGGTTCAGCACGTTAGGGTAATGGCCCATTTCGCTCCATGATCTAGGGAAGATCTACGTAATACTTATATATTTACATATCAGTTTCGAGCATGCAGGCACGCAGTATGTACTTTAAATATTAGATATTACCTGTCTATATTTCTGAGGTGACGTATTTACACTATTTGCATTGTTCGGACTCATCTTTGTTGCCATATTCAAAAAAAGTTTCGGGCTTCTTCAGGTGATTGGAATTTCGCACTGAACCCTTAATTTTATCCGCCGGTGTATATTGTTCTAGTTCCATGTGCCATGCCTATTTCGGATGTTTCAGCATCGGTTATCTCCCTTTAACTCAACTCCCCAAGTTTTTTTGTCCTCAAGAATCAGAGGATAAAAGCGTTTGGTTGAATTCAGTGACTTGACCCAAAGAGTTGTGAGTTCGATACCTGGCTACGACTGAGGTTGACATGTTGAAGAGTTAAGTTAATGATAACTGATACTAAGACATACGGAGGCGTAGCACGTGGAACTAGAACAATCTATCCCAGTGGACGAAATAAAGGGTTCGGTTCGAAATTCCTATTACCCGAAGAAGGCCGAAGCGTACAACAGTCCGAAGAATGTAAATAGATATTACCTGTTCTGTAAGCACTAATCTTCAGATCGTAGTCGTCCTTAGCTTATCACAGATTCCTTTTTATTTATCTGTGAATTCCCATACAATCTTAGGAAATATAGTGGGCAACTAAATTCTAGGATTTTTTTTATTTTTTTTATTTTTTCCCCCTTTTAGACTAAATGCCAGCCAAATCTATAGAGGAGGACAGTCTACTTTGCAATTTGAAATACCAGTTGTACGATTGCCAAAGTTAAGCAACGCCGGGCCTGGTCAGTATTTAGACGGGAGACTTGGGAATACCAGGTGCCGTAAGCTTGAATGTGCAAATGGTGTAATAGATAACATCTCGGTATTGAAACTCGGCTCTTCGAGTTCCACTTGCAATCGGGTTCCTTATATTCAGTTATGTGCAAATGCTCTTTGGAAATTTATGAATCCATCTCTTCTTCCCCCAGCTATGGGTTAAGTCACCTGCAAAAGTTTGATAATCTGTAAAAAAAAGCTCTTTTAATGGTTTTTCGTAAGAAAGTGAACGCAAACATCTAGGTTGATGTTTGAACTCTGCTAACCAATACCACTTTTTTTCGCAGCTATGTTAGTATATGTCATAGAAGTCTACTCAAGAGAAAATAAAAGCAGTTTTTTTTTTTGGGGGGTATGCAATCCTTGACGTGATAACCGTGGAAAGGCAGACTTCCGTGATTGGACAATGCTAGCTGGAATATTCCTGATGTTTTATTTATCCCCCTCTATCATCGCTGCTTACGAACGATCGTAGACTGACGATCCGTTTGTTACAAGAAACACCCACAGAAGATAGATTAGATACTGATTTAAAATGAATAATTTACGATGCTTCATTTTAAAATTCTAATAATATTGCTACTACTACTACTACTACTACTCAGGTTCGTCAGAAAAAAAGAATAAAATTAATTGATTCGTTTATCAACCCTTTGCAGAAATTATTTTTAGATTGTAAGAATATTTTTTTATTAGAGTTTGTCTATATTTCTGAGATGAGGTATTATGTACAGTATTTACATTAGTCGGACTATTGTCCCCATCTTTGTCGCCATATTTGTCACAACGTTTCGGCCGTTGTACGCTCCGGCCTTCTTCAGGTGGTTGGAATTTCGAACTGAACCCTTTATTTCGATCACTGGGGTAGACTCTTCTAATTCCACGTGCCATGTTTGATGGATGTCAGTTATCAGTTATCTCCTGCTAATTTTCCCTCTGAAAGTTCTCCACTGCCTTAACCATGAATTGAACTCACCATCTTTGGGTCTGTCACTGGATCTAACCAACGCCTTTATCCACTGTGCCATGTGTCCTTGACATCAAACATGGCACGTGGAATTAGAACAGTCTACCCCAGTGATCGAAATAAAGGGTTCAGTTCGAAATTCCAACCACCTGAAGAAGGCCGGAGCGTACAACGGCCGAAACGTTGTGACAAATATGGCGACAAAGATTTTTTTATTATTTTAATTTTTTTCAACAGTAAAATTTACCTTATACGAGGCCCGGGGGCCACTCGAGGTAGAGGATTACGTTAAGGGTTATTTTATACGGATTGGAGGTGAGGATAACGGTTACCCCTAGACTTCAACAAGGTTAGAATTGTAGTGATCGAGTCGGTTTCACAGAGAAATGATTCTCAGGAAGAAAGCTGTTCGAGTGGAACTTACTTTTTCGCCGATGGAATACGGAAGAAATGTTGGTGGTTTGCTACTATGTAAGTGGCATGGCGGGTTCTAGCCGTGACCTGGCGGAACTAAGGAATGTAGTTCGTCTGAGCACTTTCCATGGTAGTAGCGATAGAGCAGTGAGCGTCTCGCCGCACCCAGCCTATGAGAGATAGGGTGGAGGTGGAAAATAATCCGTCGACCACAAGGACTAGGAGACGCTTTGGAACTTCATCAAGACTGAAAAGTGAGGGCTGGGCATGTCCCGATAAAATATGACAACAGTATGACAGGTCTTGCTATTTAATCCATAGCTGGGGAGAGAAGTATTTGCGCGTAAGTGAATATAACGAACCCAACGTGAATTGGAATTCTACTCTCCGATTAACAATTCTGAGCCATTATCCATTATACCACACACACATCCAAACTTGCATCACCTGGTATTCCGAAGCAGTCACTCGGTACTGGCCAAGCTCGATGTTACTTAACTTCAGTAATCGTACGGGAACTGGTGTTTCAACGTGATATGGTCGTAAGCCAGAGTAAATAAGAAATAAATCTTCAGAACAAAGACTAACGGCTATATGACTAAATTTAAATTATTGCAGCTGAAACTGTTGTTAACTGGGGCAACAAATGGATCGTAAATTCTAAAGCCTCCAAAACTAAACTGATATCGTTTAATCATCTTAGATAACAATTATTACCTTATAGCAACATGGCTGATATCAACATCCAGGAGAACAACTCCTTTCGTCGTCTCCACTGACATAAAGTGGAATAATTATATTAAATCAATTGTTAGGTTTACTGATAGGGAGTCTGGCTCCCTATCAGTAGACCTGTGTCGTGCCATATTTTTTTTCTCGCCAGAATCCATCTTGTACTTTATAAGTCTACCATTCGTATCTGAAGTTACAATTGTTGTTGCCTCCGTTAGGTATCTGGATATCTGCAATGTTGTCGGTCCCTACCAGGCATCTCGTCTCAAGTCGCTTTCCCATCGCCGTAACGTGACTTCCTGTCTCATTTCTATAAACAATTCTATGGCACTCTTCTGATGAGTTCTCTTTGGTATATCAACTTTAAGAATTTAAACGTAGTACTAGATTGGTAGTTAGGTCTCATCATTTTAGTATTGAAATTGAAATTGCTAAATGTACCCGTAAGTTCTATTTTAATAGCTTCTTCTCTCGTACCTCTCTACTGTGGAACTCACTTCCGTCTTCTTGTTTTCATGTCACGATATTCAAAAATTTAAATGTAACTTCAATCGCCATTTTCTGTTGTTTTTTTTTTGTTTTTGTTTTTTGTTTATTTTTAACCCTGTTATTTTCATTTTCTCCCACTAACCTTTTCTCATTTTCTACCACTCTCAGTAAACCCTTGCGTCTTGGGGCGTTACTGCCTTGATTGGGGTGAAATAATTTAATGAAAAAAAAAAAATAAGAAAATAACTAGTTAGCTTTCTTAGCCTAAGTAATAAAGCAGCTATATTTTCATAGCAACTAATTTGACGAGCTTTTTTTCCCTGGTGCTAAGACTACATGAATTTAAGCATGCTACTAGATTGGCATCTATGTCCCACCCTTTTACTGTTGGAATAGTTAAAAGTAACTGCCATTTCTACTCCAACAGTTTCTCTTCTTTCGCTTCCTGTCTGTAGAACTCCCTTCTGTTTACTTGCTTACCTGATAACAGCAATATTCAAAAATTTAAATGTAACGTCAATCGTCACCATCTATCTTCTTGAATCCCGTTCATCTTTTATCCTTTCTTCAATGCCCCTATATTCAACCTTTTCCTTCACTTTCCCTCTCCGTAACTACCTTCCGTACTAGTAGCACTCCCGACTTGCCTGGGGTGAAATTATTACAAAAATAAATAAATAAAAGGATAAAGAATTATTTATCTTTGATCTACACTTTGTTAACGACGATTGTGATTATGTTGCCACCGAGATTAAAAAAATGAAACAAATACAAGTGGAATGTTAATAAGAAGATACTCACTTGGTTGATGTGAAATATTTCTGAAAGTTTTCGGTTTTTTGGTTGCTACCCAGTGAATTTGCGGAATTGTGGTATATGCAGGATTGAAAGGTGATGGATGAATTCTTGTGGTGAACGAGTAATTGTAATGAATGAATGGATCGGGAGTCTGATAAACTAGGACTTTGATAGCTAATAAAGACCAGCCCCCTTCTTTTTTCCCCTTAGCCTTGTGCCACAATTTCTGTAAGATCAGAAATAAATATAAATATTTCTGAAATCTAAAGGTAAAAAAAAACAGTGGGAAGAATGTAGCACCTTTCTTCTTGGTGTTCAAATTTCAACTTCGCCCAGCTGCGCTGATTAAAATATAAAAATTAATCCATTTACAATGAGACGCGGTTGAGCCGATAACTTTAATTAATTCTTTCGTTAATTGTTAATCACCTTTTGTCTTTAACGTTCTGCTTAAACGTAAACTTCGACATTTTTTTCTTGTAGTAAAACCTCTTCTTTTGAGTTGTGAATATTTTCTTGCTATCTATTCTGTCTTTCGCTTTATCACATAGTCCAGCGATTTCTAAACTTTTTTCTTGATGTGGCGCCTTTGGCTTCTCAACCCTAATCCCTTACTCCCTCCTCGCCCACCTATATGAAAACACTTCTTTCTCAGTATTAGGTATACGGAAAATTCGTAAGAGTTTAATACTGTAGAGCCACATATACCCTACTGTTTTTCTCAGATGCCATTCAAGGTGTCGCCTGATGAATTCTTCGCTATATTATTACTACTACACAACTAAAGCATAGGTCTTTGCCTACGTCCGATGTCTAATCTAGCTAATACGTGGCTGATATCAGCCAATTTTTTGGCGTTTAATATCCAGCAACAAAATAAAATAAAACCAAACATTTACTATAATTCTAATGTTAATTTTATTCTTTAAAAGTTATGTGTTCCTTAAGTGTAAGTGAATTAGAATGTGTTTTTTTTATGTGGATTTTGTCAAAGAAAAAAAATCCAAAGTCCACTTTGCGGACCAATTCCTTTCATATCAAAGTGCTCCTGAATGTTCTGCTGTCCAATCTGGGAATGCTAAACATATTTGTAACTTTCAATATTTTCTTTTCTCGTTATTTTTCGTCTTTTATTTCAATGTCGTTTCCTTCTTCCCTCTCCATTTTTCTTTTCATATATACTAAAGTCTTTCACTTATTTCACACTCAGGCACAATGCCAAAGTAGGAATTCAAACGAGAAAGACTATGCTGCGTCAAACTAGTAAATTATCTTGTGTTTAACAACTAAATCAGTATTTGAAATCGAAGCTTTTTTTTCTTTTTTTTACCTAGACTCAAAATACCTACTTATGGTCTAGGTGGGAACAGTGACTAGAGTGTGTTCGAACGTCTTGTCACCTTTACATAGTTAAATTTACTATTTCAGATGGCTGACATGAGTACATAGAGTTTGGAAGATACACTGCTTGCAAGTTTATGGGCACATAATCGTGTATATTCTGGCAAGAGCATAAGGAGAGTTTTACATGAACGATACCAGAATACCCATCAGTTGAAGGACGCCGTTTAGAGAGCCTTTCCTATAATCAACAAAGCACAGCTACGTAAAATATCACACAGAACATAGCATCATTTTGTGCCACGAAAATGATAAACTGAATCTAGTAAACGGGCTTTCTATTAGTATATTACTAGTTGTTATGTTGTTCTCATTACTTTTTGGAAGACGGTGACAAGACTTTCGGACAATTAATTGCTGGTTCAGTGTAACCCGGATATAAGAGACTCGGATATAAGAGAAACCCGGATATAAGAGAGATTTTCTCTGGTCCCAAAGTGTTCCCATACTTACCTAAACCACACCCGGATATAAGAGAAACCCGGATATAAGAGACTTCTTCTCCTGTCCCGACAACTCCAGGTTACACTGTCATACTTTTAATAAAGTATTAAAACCTATTTTTACACTTTTATAAAGCTTTTTACCTCAGTTTCGGGGTTAACTATTTGCACATAGTTGTGACAATAACAGGTGCTACCACCCCGGGTCAGGGTGGACATGGGAACACCAGCAATTTAGAGATAGTTCCACGCTCCTCAAAAGCTTCTGGTCAGAGGCCTTGCTGCTGGATGTAGTTTATCGTCTTACCCAGGACGCGGGTGTAGTTTATCGTCATACCCAGGACGGTCGGTTGAAGGTCCACATTTTTTTTTTTAGGATTTCTTTGGTAACAAAGAAAATAGTAGTGCGCTGCTACGTAACATCTGTCCTCCTATACAGCAACGAATGTTGGACGGTCTCCTCAAAGATGAAGAATAGTCTTGAGGCAGCAGAATGATGCTAAGGATATATTGAAGCGTGTGCGGAACGATCAGGTCTTGGAAAGAATGCAAACAAGGAAGTAGCTTATACTTAACATAAGGAAGCGGCAGATGAAATTTCTGGGACACGTAATGAGAAAGGAGGGCTTGGAGAATCTGATACTCACAGGTCGAATAGAGGGAAAAGAGACAAGGGAAAGCAACGCATGATATACCTGGCAGGCTTAAGCAAGTGGATGGCAGAACGTGGTCTGGAGGTGGGGAGTTGCCAGAGGCACGAAACTTATTAAGAGCTACAAGGGATAGAGGGAAGTGGAGAGCTATGATCACCTTCGTCCTAAAAGGACAGAACACATAAATAGAAGGAAGTATAAATGACCTTGTAGACTAATTTACTTATGTTCCCCTTTATTTCTTATTCTTTATTTTGTAGTTGATCCCTACCATGGATCAACACTTGCTCAACTTCTCCGACAGCCAAATTTTTTTTTATTTTTTTTTTTTATCCAAAACTTATTTGCTTTCAGATTGGCGTCTTTTGTTTTATTCTAAAAATCACTTTCTCTTCATTTCCAACTAAACGGCTATATAACGTTAAAACACCGATTCTCGTACGATCGGCGAAGTTGAGCAACATCGAGCCTGGTCAGTTTCTCGATGGATAACCACTTGAGAATACCAGGTGCTCTAAGCTTGGAAATGCGGGTGGTGCAATGGATAACGGCTCGGAATTGAAGATCGGACAGCTGAGTTCCAATTAGGTTAGTTATAGACACTTAGGAGAAAATACCCGCGCAAAAGATGTGAATAACTATTCTTCTTCCCCATGCTATGGGTTAATTAGTAAGATCTATATCAGTAAATCATTATTATCTTCAAATATTCTTACAATTTAAAAATATTTTCTGGCCTGCAAAAGCTTGATAAGCCGTAAAAAACAATTCAGTCAGTCCTTTCCAACACTACTTCCACTATCTTGCACATTTTTTACTTGTTACTCTTAATTTCCCTCTTCTTCTCCCCACCCCAGTATTTCTCCTACCCTCACTCTACCATTTCTCCTCCGACCCCGCTATTTCTCCTAACCTCACTCC